GATCATAAGTAACAAGAAAACCAATATGTAAATAGTATTGCTTTATCATACAATTCATATATATACTATACAGACATTAAGATGAAAACCATTTACTAACACCTTTTAAAGGTTGAAATTTTTTATTGTCTAACTTTTTAGAATCTGTAGGAACAACTTGTTCTTCTTGTTGTTGATTAGCAGCAAGATCACCACCAGCTATCATGTCTAAAGCACTTGATGGACGTTTATCTTTGAATAAATCAGGAAAAACAAACACTTCACCAGGAGCCTTCAATGAAATAGATAAATAAATCAATCAGAGAGACGAATTTTGTATTACAATAAAAAGTTAAGTGAATTGCATAAAATGAAAATTAACCAAAAATAAAAATTTCAATGTTTTCTTTTTAAGTGATAATTATTTATTGATACAGTCAATCCCATATAAGTTAAGATTATATTTTCAGTACATAATTTAAACAGTGTGAAGATCTATTGACTGAGTTTGGCGTTTTCTTCAAACCCTAATGTTCTTCATCACCATGAATACCCCCTACTATCTTTATCACTATGGAATTTGATTTGATATTTGCGTCTCTGTGCTGCTAATGTGGTATGGTAACATGAACTGATGTACATACGTACGAAGTTTTACGTTGTAACTGACTGACTGACTGACTTTCTTAGTTGTTTAAATGTACATCATGCTCTGAGAGAGCAAATTGCATGTCATGTTGTGGCTAATCGAATCGATTGACTATATGTAGTAAGCAATGCTTATAGTTAAGAAACAAGTATTAGTTAGGAAATGGTAGGTCGATAGATGAAGTAGTAAAACTTTGTCAGTTGAGGAGGTTGGGACATGTGTTATGAATGCCCAACCACCGACTGCCTCGTCGAGCTATGTTTTGCAGTGTAGGAGTAGGTGGGAAGAAAGTTAGGGGCGGCCAAACCAAAACATGACACAAATCCATGAAGTCACTGACAAGTGGACTGAAACATGTTGGTAGATGTAGGCTACCTGATTGGGGTCCGCGAGACGAAAGTAACCGATGGTTAAAGACCTTGAACGACATGATTCAAAATCGTTTGCAATGAAGCTGGTGCATCCACTCTTCGTGTTCTCTGAACTTCTGAGTTCCTCATCATCTTTATCTTTTTCTTTCTAAAGTTATCTCACTGAAATTTATCTTCAATTCCTAATAATCTTCATAACCGCCAATACTCCTACCATCTCTAGCACCATGGGATTTGAACTGACAGTGGCGTTTCTGTGCTAATATGGTATGGCAACCTGAAGTGACGTACGTTCTACGTAGTAACTGACTGACTAACTGACTGACTGACTAACTATATGTAGTTCATGTGACATTTCGTAATAAAGCGGAAACGTTATTTTATCAGCTAGTCACAAACGTGTTACTTCTACAATTGATTGAACTTGCTTTTTCGAACTGTAATCTTTAAGACGAGAAGCAGCAACATGGCTGCAATATAACGAGAACACGTAAATCAAACATTTAAATAACAGTGCAATATGATAAAAAATGTGATTCGATCAACCATAGTTACTTCAGAATAATTAAGAGATACATATTAAAGGAAACAAGATGTAAATATATAATGATTGATAAAAAGGGGTGAAATTATAGAGTTAAGAACGGTTAGTGAATCCAATACATATCGACTACAAGAACATTATAAAACTAAGCAGCATAAATTACATTAAACTCTTGAAACCAAATATTAGTTATAATTTTTTTTCAAGCAGTACATAAATTCCTCCTAGAAGTACTCAACTAGATTTTTGAGGATTTTGAAGTACCAAACCATATTAGCACAGAGATGTAATTGTCGATTCAAATCCATTAGTAGTAAAGGTAGTTAAGGTATTAGAAGCAATCGGAGAGGTTAGGACTAGAAGATATAATTCAAGAAGTAGAATCTAATAAAACAGACTTAGAAAGATAAAGATAAAGTGATGAAGAATTAAGAAGTTTAGGTTTTTAGAGAACACAAAGAATGAATGCACCTGCACCATTTCAAACGGTTTTGAACTATGTCATGTTAGTACAAAACACTTTAAATCGAATAGATTTATCAATGTTGGTATAGAAAAGTATTTTTCAAAAAAAGATTTCAAATAACAGATTTCAGTCCACGTAAATGACGAATTTTATAGTTATGCACTTTTATAAAATTCTAGCAAGATTCATTATGCACACTAGACCAGTAATTCATTGGTGAATCTGCGAATTTAAATTAAATGAAACTCAGTTTAACCGAATCATTAAAGCTATTCATAAATAGAATATTGTGATTTTGTTGCGATTGAAAATAGGACATAAGGAGTGAAACAGTTAACATGAATGATAAAATAATGAAAACTCATCATATGTGCAGTCTTTTAAAATCAATTAACCAGATGATACTAGGAAAAACTACGGGGACAACATCGAAAAAGACTCTTCCCTAAATATCTGAATGGTTCTATTAATAACCGGATGTTTGTGGAGAAAAATGTAGTTATATACAAATAAACATCTTACCAAATGAACATATGCAACCTTTTCATAGCGTTCCGGTTTAGGAGGAAAAGACGTAGAATCGTATGCTTTCTCAGCAGTCTTTACTGCTGGTATATCAACTGGTTCTACTGTATAAATAGTCACTAAATAATTAGAATTTACAATCGTGATAAACCATTTTTACTCGAACATCTACGACAGGAACATTATATATCTTCTCTAAATACTGTGCCACATCTCGCTTAGTCATTCTGAGATAGGAAATTAGCACATAATTACTGTGGGTGAACTTTGAAAACGACATGGTTAGGAGGATTTTTTGGACCAGGATACATCATTTTCATCCAAAACGGTGGGAGAAAACATGGTACTGGAGGATCACCGGGAGAAACCTTGGGGTACTCAACTTGCCGCTTCCACAAAGGACTGTTTTAATCTAAAATGTAATCAAATAACACTTACAAATAGTGTGTTGTTTTAGGCAAGCATATCGGGCGAATGAATATGACAGGCCGTATCCCAGGCATTTGAGTTTTGCGCTTTCCGAAATACAATGCACAGGTTATACACCAATCAGTTTCTTTGAGCTTGTTTCCCTTTGTTTCAGTGCAGTTCCATGAACCTAGTAATGTCCAACGAATAATAGCCAGTCCGTCCGACTGCTCTAATTCTATTCATTTAGCAGTTATTTGTGAATGTATGTCCAATATCCAATATCTTTTTCACGAGCTAGTGTAAACCAATTTGATTTCTTCGCGCTCGATTCTTGTTCTTTCGGTACGGTTCCAGGTGTTCGGTAATGTCCAATGGATGGAGGTCTAGCCACTCGACTGTCTAATTCTAGTCAGTTGGCAGTTGGTGTGAGTTTGTATGTCTCGGGATTTGAATGAAACGTTTGTTTCAGGGCAGTGGGGTTTCTGGATACTAGCAGCCGTCACATTACCAAACCGGATATCAGTTAGTTGCAATGTGGAGAGTAATGAGGGTAATAAGGGTAAATTAAAATGATAATATGAGTAAAATTTCAGAACTGCGTAATATATAGATGAATTTAGTTTATTAATTGGTAGTGAAGATTGTGAGAGAGGACCGAAGTGTAAGCAAGGGAGAGGAAACAGAGATAATAGGCGAGATAGATTAATTGAGTGATCTGAGAAGATGGCAATGGTAACAACTAGCAGGTCTCAAGATATGCATCAGGCACAGCTTGTTCAAGAGGGAGATGATAGTCCGTATGTGAGTACGTGATTATCAAGTCTCTTCTTAAAGCAGTCCACTGAGGGGGCTGTAACTACCTCGGCTGGGAGAGCATTCCAAGTTGCGACGACTCGCAATGAGAAAAAGTGTGCACGAATCTGAGTGTTTGCTCTTTGATGTGCAATCTTTTGAGGATTGCCTCGAGGGGAGTGGTGGTGATGCATCAGTAAGATGCTCACATTGGGATGGTTTGGCGTGTTTAATATGGTGTACGCCATAATCAGGTCACCTCTGATTCTCCTGTAGCTCAGTGGGAATAATCCCAAGAGCTGGAGTCTATCGTCGTACGGTTTATTTTTCAACCCTATCACCCATTTGGTTGCTGTTCTGTGCACTCGATCCGAGAGATTCGTGTCTCTTTTAAGCAGAGGGGGTGCGATGACGTTGTGAAACTCCAAGTGTGGGCGTGCGTACGTCTTAAAGAGGGTTAAAAATAATTTCGGGGTTATAGCACCAAGCTGTCTTCGAATAAAGTGAAGAGTCACATTTGCCTTGGCTGCATCCCCTACATAGTTCGGACTCGTGTGGAGGCTTTCTGTGGTTATTAAACCAAGATCGCGCTCTGAGGAGACATTTGGGAGCGGACTTCCATTGAGAGTGTAGGTGGTTTGCGTCATATGAGGCAGGAAATGCATGACGTGGCACTTCGGTTGGTTGAGTTTTAAACCGTTTTTCACTGCCTCGTGATTTGCGTGAGTGCGTTTATTTGAGGACAGGAGGGTTTCTGGATGCTAGCAGTTATCAGATGTACAGGTCGATGATTAGTTGGCTGAGATGTTGAGAATAATATTGAAAAAATCCTAAAACTAAGTAGATGGATGATATAGAAACAACTTGATAAATAAATAAAGTTAATGTCGCCAATAGTATATGCCTTTATAATATAACCATTCCGTTTAAAGTGGATTTCAGACATGTATTACGAATGCATAACCACCGACTGCCCCGCTGAGCGATGTTTTGTGGTGTAGGAGTAGGTTGGAAGAAAGCGTACTTCTAATCCGAGTTCTAACTCGTATCTTATCAAAGTTCTGGATATATTGGAATCAATAATATTTAGCTTGGTTATTTAAATTACATCTGGCGTCACTGAACGAATGGATTCTAATAACTTCGGGAAATCGCCTATCAACGCGTCACTAAGAGAGTAAAGGATTATTTAGAGTGTTTTGATACTTGTTGTTTGTCACATTATGTCAAGGAAGGTTGCGTTTCAGCCCATTTCATAACTGCTATTGGTATAAAAGCCGAAAGTTTATTAAAGAACCTTGCATATTCTAACCAGCCTACCATACTTGCATTTGACAAACTTAAGAGATTGCTGACTCGTTATCTTCGTTCATAAACATTTGAAACATGTGTAGGGGCACAGTCCAAAAACTAGTTCCTGCTCCTGTTCAGGCAATCTAAGGTTTCACACAAAAACTTCAGGCACAACCTTTTAGGTGCGATTTTGGCAAACATCTGCCAATCCGTCTCAGTGACTGCCTAATTGCTGTGATAAATTATCCTGAAGAAGAGGAGCAACCGATATAAATTCTTTCATGCGATTTCCAGATGGATATGTACTTCTGTTTTATTTATATAGACGTTAATAATGATCCATGTGATGCTACGAAGCAGAGCGATGTCTTAAAATCAAATGTGAATTAATCTACTGTATTGCTGAGATCACAGATTTCTCCGGTTAGGAACTGCTCCATTTCAAACAGGCGAATGAATAGTTTGAAAAATACTTCGGATCTGGAACCTTGTCTTTCATTCAGTAAACGGTATCTTCGTAGTTCATATCAGTTTCATTAAGGTTGTTGTCGTAAATGTGGAAAAGTCGAACATTTATGAAGTGCTGGGGATGGATAGGATACAATTAGGAAATTACGAGACTGTGTCACAAGAAAAGCCCTCAACTGGAAACCTCAAAGCCAAAGGAAAAGAGGAAGATCAAAGAATACATAGAGCCGAGTACTGGAGAAAAACATGAAAAGAATATACAAAACTTGGATAGAACTAGAAAGGAAGGCCCAATACAGAGGATGTTGGAGGCTGTTGGTCTGTGGTCTATGACCCCCCCCCCCGGGAGTAACAGGCTTAAGTTCTGAGTACGCTGCATTTAGGTTAACTGGAACAGCGTAGTTGTAAAAATGGGGAGTAAATACATCAGAATTATAAAATGACCAAGTTTGATTACAATTATTACAAATCTGCCGTTAAAATACCTCAACTCTCAGTCAGTTCGCTCTCATGTCTTGATCTTTGGTGTTAGATACTATACTCTTTCTAATTCTGGGGAGAAAAATCAACAGGATTTCAGTGAAAACCTTTCGTTTCACATACTGTACACTCACAGGGAAGATTTAAAATGATGTTTAACGTCTGAAGATTGGCTGAATACGTGCTTGGAATATCCCTCACGGATAATCTGCGAATGCTGAAAGATACAATAATGATACTAACATTTATCCCCAACTAACAATCTGTTAATCTAGGTATACCAGTGTACAGGCAAGATCAATTTATTACTCCACTTCACCTGTTGGAACGATTTGATACAGCCACACTCCTCGGGTGGTGTACATAATTAAGTAGTGAATTTATTGGAAAGTTTTCATCGGAAGGCACTTGGTATTAGCCGCGACCTTGAAACCACTTCGAATCAGGGAAAAAATCAAGACAAGTGCAGCTCTCAGTCCGGCGTACTTTAAACGTGTAGAGAGCTAATATTTAACATCAGTTAGGTAATATCGACATAATGGATCAGTTACGTCCTACCAAATTGTATGAATCCGTAAGCGAACAAAATGCTTTACCCTCTAGATATGTGTGAATTAAAGTTGTTTTCTTATCATCATAATCGCTGGTTAGATACGCCATCCCACCTCCATTTGTGACAGTAGGATCTCGCATTTGTAGTATGTTTTAGTAAAACAGCAGTCTAAGCTCTATTTTTCGAACCTTGTCAGAATAAATTGTCTTCGCTAGTCACCTGATACAAGCAAAGCAAACGGATTTAGCTTCTTATGTAAAGTGGATTATATCAACTTAGCATATCATTTTGATATTAAGTTAACTAATGGTATAAAGTGTAAGATGTAGTTCAGCTGAGGTGGAAAGGATAGATAGCTGGTCAAAAAATATGAGAGTGTCGAAACTTTCTGGATAAGGAGATAAGTAAGAAGGCGAAATTTTTAATTGTTAATAAATTGGGGATGTTTATATTTCTCAAACTGGTGATACGTTAACTAGAAGGGACTCCAAATGATTAAGGATAGTTGGAATTTCTTGTAATCGGCGGTTTTTGTAATCTGTCTGTCTACTCAAAATAGGAACTGAAAGTAATGTGAAAGTTTGTGGAGGAAAATGATGTGACTTCAAATATTAAAGAAACTCAGAATGTTAGGAGTCGAAGCATAAAGTTGTGACCTGATATGGTTAGTGGGAGAAGTGGAATTCTGTGATGTATCATGTGGTGATACTTGTGTGAATGGTGATTGGGGTGCAATATGTTCATGGTTTGATGACAGTTTCTAAAATAAGTTCATATACTAGATGGACCATAAAAAATTGTTTCGGGATTGGGTGGCAGTTTTGGAGTTAGATGATAATGTCTCCATAGAATCCATTTTGGGTGTTTTGTTTGTGAAAATTCCTCCATGTATACAATTGTAATTTGTTCTTACTGATTCCTTCAGATGTAAATTTTGTGAGTTTGTTCGATTCCATTTTGAGATGATAATATTTTTAATTTACTACAGTTTCTTTTTTGCCTTCAATGAGTTTCTATGTTTCTTTCTGAACTGCATTTATATTGTTTTAGCTAATACTTAGTCTTGAAGGCAGCTATAAATTCTTGTTCCTCCTTTGATTGTATTGCTTGCATTGACTGTAATTGAGCATTTCAATTGTGAATTGGAGCACTCTTCCAGAATAGGAAACGCTCTGTGTAATAAAGCGACCAAATATTATCTTTCGAAAAGTCTGATCTATACAGAAAGGATATAATAACAATTATTGTTGCTATTGATTTCATTAATTAAACAATTGTTGGTGGAAAAAATGAGTGGTAATGTTTGTTTATGTAATGATGTGCATTTATATTTATGATGAATATTAGAACCGTCATTTACCCAATCACTTGTTTTGGTTTCAACTGGGCAAAGCGCGTATCTAAACTACCTAGACAGTTATTCTTCAATCCAAACCTCAGTTTGGTTCCTATATCTAACAACAGCGTTACTTGCACCTGGTGGTTATATCACAGTTAAGGATAGAAATCGGCATTCTAGTCAACAAAAAACTGTACCCTGTTACAAAGAAATTAGGACACAATCACGTTTTATCTACTTCCATCCGTACTGTATGTATGCAAAATGTTGCTTCAAGATTGGGTCGCATCGGCACCTGAACTAGTGATAGGGAGTGAAGTAGTCGAACGTGTGTACCGCTTCACTTATCTGGGGAGTCTGATAAGTGCCGCTGGCCTGGTGACTGGCGAAATCACAGTACAGATACAGAAAGCTCGATTGGCTTTTGCCAACCTGCGTTTATTATGGCATAGGCGAGATATCCGCTTGCTA